GATTTGCCGATCCCATACAGGCGGCCTGGAGGTGATAAAATTTATCATGTCTTTGACAATCAGCTCCCTGCAGCCTTAAAAAGGTTGCAGTTTGATAAGCAGCTTTCAATGGAAAATATAAGGAAACTTATTACAGAAGCTGATGGGTATCAACCTCATCTAATAGCTCCAGAACAAGGATACCGTCGTCTCATTGAATCTTCTCTAATAACTATCAGGGGCCCTGCCGAGGCTGCTGTTGATGCGGTATGATATTGAAATCTTATGTGGTGATGGTGGAAAGCATGTTATCTAAGAAAATACTTGATTAAAATGATCTCTTTTTCTTATAGTTCTGATTTGATAACTTTGCCTTTTTATTGACTAAATCATTAAAATCCTTAACCTCAAACTTCAACTGTGTCCAAAGTTTGTAAATTGGTAAATTTTATAAAATTTATATTGTGTAATAAGTGTTGTAACAATTGATTTATTAACACATTCCACTTTAATCTTTTGTTGATGTCGTTGTTCATGCTCATGGAAGTCTGATTTTGAATTGAATGCTTCCAGGTTCATTCCCTGTTAAAGGAGCTGGTTCACAAAGCTGTCAGCGAGACTGTGGTATGTTCCTGGCAGTATTTATTTAATGTTTCTGTTGTATATCTTACTGTTGCTGCTATATTTGTGCTTAATAAGTTTCTTACTTAGTGTGCTCTGATGTTGTCACACCTATTTTAGTGAAACATTTTTTAATATCATTTAAATCATTCAATTTTGAAAGTTGAAAACATGCAGTGTTCTGGGGTTTTCTTTGATCTAAAATTAAGACATGTATGCTTGGAGATGTTGCACATTCAACCCTGTATTTGCTTTGCGATTGTCAAATGGTTTGATGAAATTTGAAAAGCTCAAGATGTTATGCTCGGAGAAAGGCGCTTCTAAATATTTGGTTATAGTTCTATTCTAGAAAATGACACGTTTGACCTTAGCTTTTCACTTTTTCTATGACAAAGAACCTGCCTTTTCTTGTTAGATGAATTGCTTATTGATGGTGTGAATGATAATGAATCTTGGGATTTCCAAAGTAATGGAGATAATCCCTTCGATGTGGAGCCAATGAGCTTTGTCTTCTCTGTGCTTTTTGTAGTTATACATGATTAAACTAAGGCCGTTTCAAAGTTTACCGGCTTTTACTTTACATATACTTGAGCTTTGTAATCTTTTTTTCTTCCTTTTGTTCATCCTGAGTTCTATGGGATTCTCAATTTTCCCAGCTAATAATTAGCTTGGTTGATTTACAGGACTTGAAACAGTATCCTGGTCTCCGGGTGGAGGTTGGGGCTGCAGCTGTTGATTCACTGGAAAGAATGAGGGACGAAAGCAAAAAAGCAACTCTGCAACTAGTTGATATGGAGTGTGGCTATCTGACTGTTGATTTCTTTCGGAAGCTTCCTCAAGATGTTGATAAGGGTGGCAATCCCACGCATTCAATTTTTGATAGATATAATGATTCTTATTTAAGGCGAATTGGTAAGTCTTACTAAACAGTCTAACTTGGACTGATATTAAAGCTTTGATCTTATAGTTTGATATGGTATTGCCATCAATATGTTTGAAATGCCTTGAACTACTGACCGTTCATTCTCACTGTATAACAGGAACCACAATTTTGTCATACGTTAATATGGTCTGTGCTACTTTGCGGCATTCCATTCCGAAGTCCATCGTCTATTGTCAAGTGCGGGAGGCAAAACGTAGTCTACTAGATCACTTTTTCACTGAGCTAGGCAAAATGGATGTGAGAACAAATCTTCCTTTCCAAGTCTTATGTTTATGCTTTCATTTATTCATGGAACTAGTATGTGTGCGCGAGTGTAGGACTGTTTTTCGTTTTGTTTTAATATTGGCTAAAAAAATTAAGCATTTAATCTTTCTTCGCAGACCAAGCGTTTGTCCTCGTTACTGAATGAGGATCCTGCAATTATGGAACGACGTAGTGCCCTCGCGAAGAGACTTGAGTTATACCGTAGTGCACAAGCTGAAATAGATGCGGTTGCTTGGTCTAAGTAGATGTGCATGTCGACCACGTTTTAACGAGAGCCACCAGTATTCCTATTTCAAGTTCACTCATTCATATATATTTTTTTCTTTTTTGCTTTTATCTTATTATCGATAATTTGTACTGTCATATTAAAGAGATGTTTGATTCTGAAAAAAAAAAATGATTTTTTTGGGTGAGATAATTGAGTGACTATAGATCTTTCATTTTTTTCGTCCTTCCGATTCCCGACTGCCCAAGTTTTTTTTTTTCAAGTTTCAAACCAGTTGAGAACACATACATTGCACTAAATATGTAGTCTAATGCGAAGTTTATACCTGTGATAATTGATTTTCATACGTTACCATTTGTCCCAGCCTGAAAATTATGGAGCCGGAAAGACGAATTAATTTGAGACTTAATTGCGTTCGCAGTAACAGAAAGTTCAAACGATTAAACATGCGCGCGCATATATATATATATATATATTGTCGAGTTTGTATTTTTTTTCCTTAGTGATAATGATTTGTAGAACTAAATTTGATTTAGTAGTATGTTTGAAGTAAAATGGATGGGTTTGGAATTTTTTATTTCTAATGTGCTTTATATATATATATATATAATTAAATGAATTTTGCACAATACACTTGTAGTGTATGTACAGAATCAGTTTACAGAACATACGGTGTTAGTTTTAACAAAATAATTTATTTAACAATTTTCTATAAATATTTATTTTTATTAATTTAACTGTTAAATTATGATATCTTATTGTGGTAATATACATTAAGTTATAAATAATTTGTATTTTCATAAGTACGTAATTTAATAACAAAATATTTATATTTTTAATAACATTTTATGTTTAATAAAGCAATATAATGAAATATTGACTACTTTATAAATTATATGAAATTTTATAAATTTAAAATATTTCATGAGAATTTTTGCTATATTAATAAACTTTAATATTTATAATAAGATATTACAAAATATTATTTTATCAAATTTAATGCTTAATGTGAATGAGTATACCTGTGTGTCTAATAACATTTATGACATTAAATAAGTTCAGAGAGTTCAAATATTTCTCTACACAAGGCAATAAAAGAAAAAAGAAAACTATATTGGAAGGCAGGTGAATTGTGTCTTTTTTTTTTTCTTTTTTTTTGGGCTTTTCTAAAAACACTTGTGACATTTTGCAATAAGTGTAAACAAGGAAGAAATTTTGCTAAATTTTTAGTAAACGCTTTTGAGGTAATTTTCTTAGAAGTTTTAAGAAAAGTATTAACACTATTTTTAAGGGTTTTGTTTTATTTAGAATATTTTTTTAATTGTTATAAAATTTTTAAACGCTTTTTATTAAATAAAATAAAATAAAATAAAAATCAAACATGCTCAAGGGGTTAATGACTTAAGAAGGGGTGTGAGAATAATAGGCAAGGCTAAAAGGAAAAAAAAAAAAAAGGATTTTTCAATCCTTTATCGTCAATTATACAAACTGAAAGGCTTTTTTTAGGAGTCGAAACACAATCAACTCTAGAAGTTGAGTTACTTACCACTTAGCTCAGCTGCTCAAATTTGCGAACGTATTTTTTCAATCGAGTTAGGTTCGGCTAATTATACCGTGCGTTCATATTTATTAGTCTAACCTATTACTATGTTACGGGTTCAATCACTTGAATGAGTTAGTTGATCAGTCCATTGTATTGACTAACATACACACACACACACACATTATTATTATTAAATTTCATCGCATTTCACCATTATCGTACTTCACTGTAAATAAATTATGAATTAATATTTGATACTATAAATGTTTTTAATTTAATTAAATTTATTATAAATGTCTTTTGCTTACTATATTTTAACATATGGATCTAATCCGATATAAAATATGGATCTGATAAAAGAAAGGTTTAAATAATCCTAAAACAAAACAAATAAAATAATTATGTCAACTGGTTACAGCAAGATGTATGGATTACCTAAAATTTAAGTTAAATTATAGGTCAAACTAAGATCAAGACAAAATTTAGCACCCAACCTAAATTATGCATTAGGTTATGATGATTTCGACCAATTCTAATACTTTTAGTTAGCTCATTCATTCTAGGTAATATATATTTATGTTTTGCTATGATAGTAGCTTAACGAAATTTAAAAATTCATGATGAGAAGTTAATAATAACATTTTTTTTAAAGGAATGATAGATTTAAAAATTAAATCACTACTAAAAGACTATATTGTAATTTAATATATAAATATGAAATACTTGAATATATTTGACCTATGATACAACCAATATTGCTAAGTTATACCTATATAATTTAAATTTTATTAAAAAAATAAGATATTAATAGAAAAATTAATCAAATAAATATTAAATTTATAACCAATAAAGAAAATTTATAAAAAAATTAAAGGTTTAAAATAATTTACTCCGTGGTTGAGGATGAATGATTTTTGTAATCATAAACTACTACAAGTCATGCTCAGATTTTTTTTTCTTTTTAAAAAACTTTACTGCTTAAATCATTTAGCAAATGAATTATTTTAGCTTAACTTTCTGTCTTAAACCTGAGGGAATGTTAAATACTTTGAGAAAAAGTTTAGTGCTCATGTGATAGTCTTACTTGACTTTTTCTAACGATTTTTAAAAAAAAAAAAGAAAAAAAAAGGCTTTGTTTCATATTATCGAAAAGAATGTAACTTCCATTGACGCCGATCAAAACAGGCTCCCAAGTCTACACTGCAAGTAGGATACAGTGGGCCTGTGACAAAACCATCCTAATCAAATTAATATTTATTTATTTTATCTTTCACTTATTTTTTATATTTTTATACAGAATTTATTCAATTCAATTAATGCTTTTTAAAAAATATATTTATAATTATGATTTGATTATAATAATAATAATAATTTTTAATAAAATATATTCACTACTTTTACGTTTGCAACACATTTGTGCGAATCATTAAACTATACGACGTCGTTGCACTTGAACAAACTTGCGGTGTTTGGTTTCCCCTTTCCGCTCCGGATTCGCGTCCACTACCTCTGATCCTAACATACGTAACGATTTCTTTTCCACCTTCTCCGCTGCGATTCGAATATGCTTTATCGCTTTCATTTTTCTCGTTCCTGCACAAATGCCATGAAAATCTCAAATCTTCCCTTTAATTTCAATTTGTAGAATCTCCGGTGTTGAATTTGAATCCATGCGCATCGCCTTTCATTCGCTGAATATTCTGCAGAGGAAATTGATTTGAATGAATATCATTATGCAGGGAAATCGCTTTTGAGATTTTGAGTTCTGATCCATTTTCTTCTCTTTTTCTGACAATTTCTCGAGTTACTTAGAAGGAAGGCTCAGGGGTTGCATAGGGTGTCATGGACTCTGAGAGGGAAAGTTTTAACCTCTCAGGACCTTTGCATCTTACTTTTGTCTTATGGTAACTTCAATCAAACAAATCTTCCACTTTAAAATTCTCTCTTTTTATCCTTTTTGTTATTAGAGCCAATGTCTCTTTTAGATTATGTTGTTTCTTCACCATGTTTGATTTCTTATGCTCGATTTGAATATCGGTTCCCTAATTTTACATGACAGTATATATGGTGAAACTAACATCATGTACATAACCATTTTTTCACATTTAGAGGATGTTAATTAAGCACTTATTTTAAATAACGATTTATGGCATAAGTTTAATCATAAAATTTAGCTGGGAAATAATTTATATTTATAAGTTATACCAAGAAACTTATTGAAATAAGTTAAGAGGTACGTGTGAAAGTTATAAGCGATTTTCATAACTTGTAAAAAAACTCTTAAAAGACTCCATGACATATTTAGTATGTCTTTCAAGACCTATTTTTCTTCTACATATATGTTATTCTCTTTGCGTAGAGCTTCAATACTGGAAATTCTAGTTATTTGCTTAAGGTCATTTTGAATCCCAATAGTTGTTGTATCTGAGGATTTGCGTATGTGGCTTATACAAAGTAATATATGGTCCAATTCAGGGATAATGCATATCATCGAATGTCAGTTGCTGCTAGTTTGGTCCAAGGTGTTTATATTCTAGAAAGGGATCGGCAAGAAAAGAGAGAAGGTGCGAATGCTCTTGCACCACCTTGGTGGACATTCTTCCACTTTCAGCTGCTTCGACCGCTTGTGGATGATGTTGATTCTTCCATTTTTGGTGCAATCTACGAGTTCAGGCCTCCATCTTCTCAGTATAATGACACTTTATATAGAAGTCCTCGCTATGTGATTGCCTTTAGAGGGACTCTAACAAAATCACACTCAGTTTCTCGTGATATTGAGTTGGATATCCACTTTATCAGGCAAGGGCTTCATCAAACTTCTCGATCTGAGATAGCTATTCAAGCTGTTCGAAACATGGTAGCAACTGTAGGTGATTCAAATGTTTGGTTGGCTGGACACTCCCTAGGATCAGCAATGGCAATGCTTACTGGGAAAACAATGGCCAAGAATGGCATGTTTGTTGAATCTTTTCTTTTCAACCCACCATTTGTATCTGCTCCAATTGAGAGAATCAAGGATGAGAGATTGAAACATGGGATTCGATTCGCCGGCAGCGTGATAACAGCAGGACTCACCATTGCTATGCAAGCCAAGAAGCCGCAGGATTTATCTGTGGATCCATTTGCTGCTTTGTCTGCTTGGGTTCCATGTTTGTTTGTGAATCCATCAGATCATATATGCTCAGAGTACATTGGATACTTTGAACATAGAAGAAATATGGAAGACATTGGAGCAGGAGTTATTGAAAGGTTAGCAACTCAGAATTCACTTGGTGGCCTACTGATGAGTGCATTTGGGAAGGAATCTGAACCCCTACACCTGATTCCTTCAGCTTCTCTCACTGTTAATCTTACTCCTTCACGTGATTTTAAAGAAGCCCATGGGATTCACCAGTGGTGGAAACCTGACTTGCGCCTGCAATACAAGCTCCACAATTACAAATAGTTGTGTACTTATTTATTGTAATATATTGGTGGGGTGGGGCATTGGTTCTTTTCATAAATTGAATTGAATTGTAATATATTGAGCAAGGTAAATTATGAATGATTGAATTTTGTCATTTTGTTCCATAAATTGGTAAGTGCTGCTGTATCTTGGGTGTTTCTTTATTAGATAAAATGAAAAGTAAATGAAAACAACATAATATAGGAAAAACTAGTAATTTAGTTTTTAACTTTATTTTTTGTTTTGATTTAATTATTCATTTTATTTTTTATCGTTTACGTTTTCGTTTGATTTCAATTATGTTACAATTGACAAATAAAACAAAACAAAAAGATAAAAGACCAAAGTGAAAGTCATAAAAAAAAATTATAGAATCAAATTGAAAACAAAAGAGACTATTAAAGTATTAATTTTGCCTAAATAGCTTGAGGCACTTGATTGCTGGTTTCTAACATATTCAATTAGCTTTACAATGTTGACACCGAAGAAAGATCGGAGATTTAGCTTAGAACAGAAGCTTCTAATGGTGATGATCCAAAGGATGGAAAGCGTAACAATCAGGAACGTAGCTAACCCACACTGGCTGCTCACAACACGAGATAGCACAAATGGTGTGGGAGGCAAAGGCAATGCTTAAATGGTAGCAGCAGCCCAGATAAGGATCCGTGCCCCCTTAGTGGAAGCACACAAACCGCTTCATTTATTCGACAAGATTCATTCAAACAAAGTCATTGTCACAGGGACAAAAGACAATAACTAATAGCCACACTAGTTGATTAAATAGATTCGGAATAACTACGAAAGATTCAACAAGCAATCTTTATCGTGTAACATCGTTACATGAATATCAAGGTACCTTTTTTTCCCCCCCAAATATACTCAATTTGCTTATTTTTAAATTTAAGATGTAATATTTTAAATTTTCTACTAATTAAAATGGTTTTTAAATTAATATTACCCTCTACTAACAAAATTATGTTGAAAATGTGCTTTGTATGATTAAAAAATGTTATAAATCCTTATTCTCTTATAAAAGTATTGCTTATCGTTTGTATAATATGAATTACAAGTTGCATAAAATAATAAAAGAAATGCTTGATTAAATTTGGAAATAAAATTTTGTAAAATAATCTTAAAATTTTCAAATATATAAATGTTTAATCTTTCGTATTGTCATTTCGAATTACAGTTTATTAAGCTCCAAAAAGAAAATATAAAAAATTACCCCATTTCGATAAAGTTACGACCAAATCAAAGAAACTAGTAAAGTTAAAAACCGATACAATATTGATGGGGGTCAATAGTTAAGCAGGTAGAGGTGCTATTCGATTTCTATCTTAGGTTAGTTTTTCAAGATGGCATTGTCATCGACACAAAAAAGAAAATTTATAATAACTTGCTATCAGACAAACCACAAAAATCAGCTTCCATAAAGAGAGCCGCATTTCCGGATCTTTTTAGGAATGGTTGGTCCCTACGCCATGCTTGCCCCCAACCCATCTCCCAAAGCAAGGGTGACCCTCTTTTTCTCTCTTTCTCACCCAATTCTGACTCACTTTACTACTCGGATTCCAATTCCCACACCTCCCAAACACAATTTATAACTTAGTCAATTAGTATCACTATCAAGTATGGAATCTAACTTTGCTTAACCCACAATTAATTAAGATTAAAAAAGGCAAAAAGCTTCCTTCCCTCACTCCACCTTCCTTTCAAACTCATCATTCTTCTCCACTTTCTGCCTCCCCTTAGAACCCTTTACTTAACCTTTAACTTATACCAAGAAAGCAAAATAAGTCATAACCACTACCCATGCCCCACCCTTATACACACATTATTGAAAAAACACGGAAATGCTATTTATACAATAAAATTGTATAGTTTTTATCATAATTTTTCAAAAAAAAGAGACGGGAAGAGATTGATAAGATGAATAATGTCATGAAAAGTAGATAAAAACATTATTATTGTAAAAAATTGTTATAAAAATATTTCATGAGAATATCATCACTCGCATTTCACAACATTTCTGGTTCTAGATTATTAGAACAATTTCACTAATAGTAACCACAAATTCCCAATCCAAATGGTTGAAGGACAAACAAAATGAACAAGCTTTGCTTTCAAGAAGGAAAAATGAAAAATCATCTTTACAATTTAAATTAATTGTGATGTCTGCGTTACTTAACGTGACTAACAATTACAGTAACATATCATATATATCTAAAGCCTACAGTTACAAAAAAAAGAAGAAGAAGAATTAGCAGTGAAAACCTAACACAGATCCATCGGTAACGGCAATGGCAACCCTGCAACCAGCTTTGGCCTGAACGTGATGGCTGAAGAAGTGCAAAACCCTCACGCGCCCCGCCATCTCCAACTTGGACTCGATCTCCATAGTGGGCTCAACCCTAAGCCCATAGTTAAACCCAACACCGTCACCGTTGGCCAATGTGGGGCCCAATCTAGCCGGCGCCGACAAGGGGAAGGACTGAACGGAGAAGGTGGCGGCCATGTACTGGGTCCGGCCGGCGTCGATCTCGCCGGCGGGGATGAACATGAAGCCAACCTGGCTGCCGGAGTAGATGAGCTGGAGGGAGCTATCGTAGTGGGAGAAAACGGCGCGGTTAGGGTTCCGGACGGAGGCGTATTGGGAGAAGGTGAAGTTAACGGTGCCGTTAACGACGGAGAATGAGGGGAGTTGAACGGCGCTGACGGCGATCTTGGGGTCCTGCGGCTTGAACACCGTGTAGTAGACAATGAGAATGACGATTACGATGAAGATTAGGAAGATGGTGGCCACGACGCACGAGGCCAGGTTAGTGCGTCCTGACGGTGGCCGTGGCCTTCTTGGCTTTGGGGTGGCGGTAGAGGCGGCGGCGGCGGCAGGGGGTCCATCCGCCATGGCCTACGGCGGTGAAATGAGGGTGTTGCTTATGTTGAGAAGAGGATATGGATGTGGATGCACATAATAATAACAAATAATATAAGGATGATGACCCAAAACCCAAACCCCACATGGTTTAAGAAAACAAACAAATTGCTAACCCCCAACGACACCAGTGTCAACCACAAACATGGGTAACACCTTTTTCTTTCTCTGCTTTATTTATTTATTTTACAATATATGATGAATTAAAATGTGTTTTCTTTTATAAAATTATAATAGAAACAAATGAAACAGCGTATTAATGACATTATTGAATTTTATGAAGAAAACTAGCTTTTTGTCTTGAAGTGGACACTTTGGTTTGCTTCACTGTGTGGTGTTTGAGCGGAAGAGTGAAGAGTGAGGAGTGATGGAGTGATGGAGTGATGGCGGTGGTCCCTTTCCCCAAACCATGATGAAGGGATAACCTTTTTTCACTACACCTATGTGCGTTTAGAAAGTAAAAAAAAATTAAGTAAATTATATTATTTCAATCTAAAAAAGTATTTTATTGTTTTTTTATTAAAAAAATGCATTTTGTATTTTATTAATGAATGTTTTGAAAAGTTGAAAGAATTCAAATCTAATTTTTTTTAAAAAATCATATAAAATATTATATATTCATTTAATTTGTATTTAAAATATATTTCATTATAATAATTTAATAAAATTCATAATATTTATTTTTATTTAATTTTAAATTACTTAATCAGTTAAAATATTTTTAAAAATTTTATATGAACAAAATAATATCAATAAAACATAATAATTAATGTTGTCTTAATGTTTAACCTAAATAAATAAATAATAATATTTTTTAACAAGTAATTAATAATTGGGATAATATTTTTAATTATTTAAAAAGTACCGTTTGCCTTTCTTTATACTGTAGTAAATGTTTAGTACTTGATCATGACTATATGTTATTTTATGGTGACAACTTTTGACATTGCGAGGCAAAGGTATCATCCATGTTCCTAACCCTTTAAGACAGTAATATTGGGTGTCAGAGATTGGTTTGAATGTTTGACAATTGAGAACTAACAAAATAATTCAAGAGCAATCGAGCCCCGTGACGTGATGGAAAGCCAGCACAGTATCATTTCTTATTTCCTTACTTTTCCATTGATTTTCCTGCAAAACTGAAATTTCTTCAATTTTATATTATTTATCTTTTAAGATAATAATAATAATAAATTATTAATTATATATATTTGTATAATAAAATATTTTTTCAAACTAATAAATCCTTATTTAAAGAGTTAGAATTTAATTATGATTATAAATCTATTTTATTTAGATAAGATATTAACAATGTAAGTGTTTTGATTTTATTAGAAGCGGTTTAGAGTTGATTTGAAACCAAATTAAAGTTGCTTAATCTCAAATTTAAGTTTTGAGAGAAAATAATTTTCTGTCGGAACGAAATAATTAATTATTGGAACATTCTAATCCATCAAGTGCATGATTATTGGGCTTAAATACTTTGCTATATGAGAAGCGAGGAGTTCTATTATTGCGAAATAATTGATTATTGGTTTTAAAATATCAATTATCAGTTGCGAAAGAACAAAATATCGATTATCTGTTTCAAATAATTTTTTATTTGCAAAAATTGATTATTAAAGTCTAAACAATTGGCTACTTTGTGAAATCAGAATTTCAAAACCTTCTTAAAAGGCAAGATTTTAATTCTTGGAAGTATATAGGGTAATAAATGACAATGAAATGATGCGTGATAAGAAAAGGTTAATTTATGTTTTAAGTAGTTGAAGTGAGAAATGGTTTATCATAATATATTAGACTTACCCTTAACAATTAAAAGTAAGGTGAACTCACTTTATATGTGATAAATCATCATTTATTGGGTTGCCTTGAAAAAGTATAAAAATAGAAAGTAAAATTTGGCTCTATAATAACTGTAGGCTATAGATAAAAATTTTCTTTAGAGGAATTACACTAACTTTGAGATTATGAGTTGTGGTATAAGATAGAGTGTACGAGCAAATAGACGATGGATAAACTTATTTATCTTGTGAGCAGAAACATCTATTTTATTAAATGTTATGATGAACAGATTGACATGTGTTTGTGGTTTGACATTTAATCAACAGTTTAGATTATGATGTGTATGGTATAAATGTAAACGATAAGTTTAACATAGATATGCTTGATTGTGAATGGGTAAAAATCTATATGATAAATGTTATAAAAATGAATAAACTTAGATTGATTGTGAATAGGTAAAACTATATATGATAAATGTTATGAAAATGAATAAAGTTGAAGAGAGGTATCTCAAATATATAAGTGACAAAGCTGTTACTGGTAAAGCTGCTCGCAATGTGTCTTGCTTTGCAGGATTGGAGGTGTCATCTACTTCCTACCATTTTTTATAGACATGTAAAAGAGAAAGAGTGAGATATATGACATTGATAATAAGATAGAAAGATAAGAAGAAAATACACAAATACATTATTGTCTACATGCTTTTTGTAGTAATTAAAAACCAATTAATATAATTAATGATTATTTATTGTGATAAAAATATTGAAAATAAAATACTACTTAAAATATAAATCGTAAAATACCTTAAGTTTTTTTTTAAAATTGAACCAACTTAATTTTATGTATAAAAAGATTATTTTTGGATTTTTTTATATATAATATTTAAAAATAATATATACTAAAATATGATGTTTAAAAAAATAGGAAAATGTAGAGTTTAAAAATAATTACTTTTGGTGCGAATACAAAGATTTAGAGTAAAGTAACGAAAAGTTATAAAATATTAAAAATTGTCAAATGACGATTTTTTTAAAAATATTTTTAAAAATTTAAAAATAAAAAATTATTAAAGTGATTTTTTAAAAATAATTTAAAAAAGTAAAATATCCAAATAACGTCATTAACAATTTTTGAAAAATTTTTGTATTTTGTAATTTTTCTCAATATACTATATTTTAATAATTTTTATTTTTTTCATATAAAAAAAGCCCACTATATTTTAGTATATTATTTATTATAAATTGATTACATGAAGATAAATTTTACCTATGAATTGCACGGTTAAAACCATAGTAATTTTATTAACAAATCATACTGGTACTACAAAAATCCCACCCTGGAACAACACCAGCTAGAACCACTATTTCTCACCCCACAACTTTCTTTGGCTTCTCTCCCTTACTATGCACAACCAGTGCTATAATGAATCATAATCATACCACGTAACTGTTATTATCTTCTCCGCTTTTGGCTGCAATTAGAATCATTTTGCTTTCATCGTGAATCAATATCAGATCATAATTTTTGTAAATCTCATATGATTCGATATTTTTGTTTGTTCCCTCTTAATATGGAAGCATGCCCAGCTAGGATGAGGGCAAGAAGTAAGGAAGTCATTTTATTTATGAGCCCCTAATATGTTGCATTTATTATGTACATGTGACAGACCTTTGTCAAAGCCTCACACAGTCCTATTATGAAACATGAAATTGAAAAACCTCAGCATAATACAACTTATTCAGACCTTTGATTACTGTTGAACATGGCAATACAATCCTGAAAACATTTCAGAGAAGCTAGAAATAGACACGAGCATGAGGCCTATGTCCAGAACACATCAAGCCATACCACAAATTTATGCAACCCTGCAGTCCATCCTAAAATGGACTAGCCATGCGCCGAATACATACATTATATATGTATATATACCTATAAAATCAGAAAAAAAAAAGAGAGTCTATTTTGCAAACTTATCAAGGCGAGAATCCATGATCTGTGAGATGGATTCAAGAAATGCCGATTCCTCCATGCCAGGAAGTAAGGAATCTTGAGCCTCACCAACAATCTCCTCAATTACAGATTCCTTGTTTAAAATTTCCCGACACATTATGCTTCCAATTGCATAGGGAGTAAGACCTCTCTCAACTCCTTTCTTCAGCAACATTGTGGAAATGCGTAGTATTCGCGCACACTGAAGTGGAATATCCCATCCATATTGTTTCAAAAGTTCTATGTCTCTTTCAGCATCCAGAGAATTGATATAATCAACTGTCTCAGAAGAGTAAGGCTGTCGTGCTTGCGGCCAGTAAAGCCAATCAAATGTGCAATCTTCAAACTGCAGATAGAATAATGAAGATACTTACTCCATGTTCAATCAATAAGAATAATCTCAATTTTTAGCAGGTTGTGGACAGCTAGTATAGTAGTATGCATCAATGCAACCCCCAAATTCCTAGCATCTATGAAATCTATCTGCCAACAATTATTTCAATTATTCCCTACACATAAACTGCATAGAAAAATTTAAGTTGCAACTTTCAATACATGTTTACCAGTCTTTCACCCTTCCATGTGAACTGATCAGCAATTGCAAATAATTTTCTGCAAAATGATTTATTAGAATTGCAAAAAATTATATAACCAAGTACTTGAACAACAGACTCTCACATCTAATATGCTTAGTAGATGCAAAAGGTAGTCAATGAAATTATATGGAAAAGAAATGCTTACTTTATCTGGTAGACAATAGCCATGATCAATAGGAATGAGCTTTGTGTGGCCATCTGCCTCCTTTCTGATCAATATATTCCCAGCATGCCTATCTGTATTAGCCATTCTTATGTCAAGCACAGTAATCTTGTGCACCTCCTCCACTGGGAAAGCCCCGGGTCCAATGTCCTCACAATTACCATTATTATTCATGAACTTCTGTAAAGACCCAACCTTGATATGTTTTGATGAGCAAGCAAACCCATTTGCGTGGTTAAATTCTTGGTGTAAGCACTGCACCATAACAGTAGGGGGAACACCAGAAAAGCCTATTGCTTCACCTGACACCAAACGTGGCCCACTCCTTGGATGATCTAAAATGTAAGCTGCAACTTCCCTCAAAGCTCCTTCTCCAACCTTTGTCCCTCTTTTCAAGCCTTCACCATTGGATGAACTTGGTAACCCTCTTGGGTTGTTCACAGCCATTGGTTCCTCATCCATGGGCTTGAAAACTGAAACATGCTCCTGACCTGTTGAATCTTGCATGAAGTAAGTCCCTCCTGTGCCATCGGAGGACCTTACAGGGCGATTTCCTT